CATAGTGACCCCATATGGCAGAGTACTTCTGCCCCAAGGGATTTTCTCGTCTGTAATCTTACCGGAGCAGATCACCAGCTCTTTCTCCCATGAAGCCAAATTGTCAGCCTCTCAAGTAGCAGCCAAGTGCTTAACTGTTGTGCCACAGGGCTCCCTTCATTTGTCTTTTCAGTTACATAGTATTCCATTATATATGTGTGTGTGTGTATGTATGTATGTTGTTGTTATTGTTACGTTCCGTTGAGTCAGACACGACTCATAATGACCCCTCCTTGGGTTTCCGAGGCGGTATCACTACAGAAGTAGATTGCCCAACATTCCTTGCGATACACACACACACACACACACACACACCATGTTTATCCATTCATCCATTCTAATGGTGACAGACATTTCAGTTTCCAATTTTTGGCTTTGTGAAAAGTGCTTCAGTAAATGTTTGTGTGTACAGGTTTCTATTTGTGTTTCTGCTTTCATATCTTTCTGGGTATATTCTTGGAACTGGGATTGCTAGGTCATATGGTAGTTTTACGTTCAAATTTTTGAAGAACTGCCAAACATTCTTACAGTGGTTATACCATTTTACATTCCCACTAGCAGTAGATGAGGGTTCCAGTTTCCTCACAGCCTCACCAATACCAGTTTTCCATTTTTTTGGTCATTGCCATTCTAATGGAGGTGAGATGGTATTTCATTGTGGTTTTGATTTATGTCTCCCTATATGCTGTAAGTTGGAATTGACTCAATGGGAATGGCTAATGACATTGAGCATCTTTTCATGTGCTTGTTGGCCATTTAAATAGCCTCTTTGGTGAAATGTCTATTCAAGTTCTTTGCCTATTTTTTGATTGGGTTGTTTGTCTTTTTGTTATCCTCAAAAGTTTTGATGTTCCCTCTGATACACATGTCAAAGCCCTACAAAGACACCAGAATTCTGTGTCAGGGTCTGGCAAACTGTTTCTGTAAAGGCTGGAGAGTAAATATTTTAGACTTCCAGTTACTATTGCAGTATCCACCATTTCCAATCTCTGCCATTTTAACTTGTGGTAAAAGCAGCCATTATGTTACTGAATGGGCATGTCTGTTCCATTAAAACTTTATATATAAAATAAGCAATGGGCAAGATTTTGCCCAGGAGCTGTAGTTGGCCCTTATTCTTTGTTAATGGAGATATGATTTCAGTTTGGAAGAAAAATTTGAATGTAGTATTATCAGAAGCCTGTATCAGTTATTAAGAAACAATTCCAATAAAGCAGCCACAGGCCACTTAACTTTTTCAACCATAAAATAATTCCAAACTTTATAAAAGAGTATAAAGAACCCCTATATATCCTTCATCAGTATTTCACAAATGTTAACTGTTTATCCCGTTTGCTGTCACTCTGTGTATGTGCACAAACATAATACACATGTACCTGAACCCATTGCCCTCAAGTTGATTCTGACTATAGTGACTCTACAGAACAGAGTAGAACTGCCCCATGGGGTTTCCAAGGCTGTAAATCGTTATGGAAGCAGACTGCCCCATTGTTCTCCCATGGAGCGCCTGGTGGGTTCTAACCACGGCACCACCAGGACTCCTTTCTATACACATATACATGCTTGCTTACATACATACATACATACATACATACATATGTATATGTATATATATGCATTTATAAACCTAAAACCAAACCTCTTGTTGTCTAGTTGAATCTGACTCATGGCAACCCCGTATGTTACTGAGTAGAACTGTTCCATAGGGTTTTCTTGGTGGTAATCTTTACAGAAGCAGGTTTGCACGTCTTTCTTCTGAGGTACTGCCGGGGGGGGGCGGCGTGTTAGCAAACTGGCAGCCTTTTAGGGTGGTAGTCAAGAGCAAATTTTTTTTTTTTTTTTATTAGGTTTTGGGTGAAGATTTACAGAGTAAATTCACTTTTCATATAGCAGTTCACATATACTTTGTCTCATGTCATTGACCAAAATTTACAATGCAGCAGCTCCCCTCCCACTTCCTCCCCATAGTTACCTCCTCCCAGTGTCCATCCCTTCATACTCTTCTGCACCCTGAGCTATCTCCCTGTGCATAAGCAGCCCTTCCTTCTCCCATGATTGTTCTCTCCAGGGCGTGTGTCTACTTGAGGTAAATGTTTAACTCACATGCCTATACTTTGTTTGGCTGGAAACCACAGTTGTGGGTTCAATTCCAGACCTGAAGGGCAACTAGTGGCCATAGTCTCAGTGGTTACACCAGGCTCCATTGGACCAGCAAACCTGGTTCCCACCTTCTTTTTTTTTTTTTTTGCCTCCAAACAATTTTGAGTTTTGTACCACTTTGTTCTCCCTCTTTATGTAGGATCTCCTACATCATTCACATGAACTTATAGGCCCATTGTCTGCCAACCCCATATATGATCTTGGATACACTCTCCATTTAGACACACCCAATTGTTCAGCCTGTTCACCCATCTATCCGTCCCTATACCCATGTTTGCTTTCACTGACAACTCAGTACTGTATATGCAAAGGGGTTCATATTTGTTGTCTGTACTGCCCATGTAACTCTCTATGTCTTTCTCATCCTCAATGCTGCCATATTGGTCACTCACATTTGGTACATTGCCCTTCTCTTCACCCAAATCAATATTTATCTCTATCTATCTAACAGCATTCCCTCCCCTCCCCTCCCACCCCTGGTAACCAACAAAGAAAATGTCCTCCAATAGATAAACCTTTCCTTAACTTTTACAATAACGGACTAATACAATATTTGTCCTTTTGTGACTGACTTATTTCGCTCAGCATAATGTCCTCCAAGTTCATCCACGTTATGCGGTGTTTTGCAGATTCTACATTATTCTTTAGCGTTGCATAGTATTCCATTGTGTGAATGTACCAAAGTTTGGTTATCCATTCCTCAGTTGTTGGACATCTAGGTTGTTTCCAAGTTTTGGCTATTGTAAATAGTGCTGCGATGAACATCGGCGTGCATATATCTGTTCTTGTTATGGCTCTCACTTCTTTAGGGTATATACCTAGTAATGGGATGGCTGGGTCAAATGGTATTTGTATCTCCAACTTTTGAAGGAATCGCCATACTGCTTTCCACAATGGTTGTACCATTTTACAGTCCCACCAGCAGTGTATGAGAGTCCCAATCTCTCCACAACCTCGCCAGCATTTGTTATTTTCTGTCTTGTTGAACTTTGCTACTAGAAGAGCAAATTTTTTATGGCATTCGGATTTACCTTTAGAATATTCAGATGAAAATAGTAGACAGTTGCAAAAGAGGGTCTAGAGCTTAGAAAACTGTAGGAAAGGCAACAAGATAGAAGTTTTCAGGTTTTTAAATGCAAAAGCTCTGAGAGTCAGGAGATGGGGGTTCTAATCTGGAGTCTGCTGTGATTGTTCTGGACTGGTCCCTTCTCTGAGATCAACATTCCTCATTTGTAAAATGAGATTGGACTGGTCTGTTGATCCCACAGGCCTCTTCCAGCTCTGAATTTATTTATTTATTTAATACATTCTCTTAAAATTTACTGGTCTGGTCTGAGGAAAAAAGACCCCTTAATAATGGTTCGAGGTATATGGTATCATGAAAGTACTGGGCTTATACTGTGTGTTTTATGAGTAGAAAATAAGATCTGGACCAGAAGCATTTCCCAGATTGTCATTATTTGGTGTCAGTAATTGGTCATTCAGCCCTTTCTCACCTCCCCCGCCTCCCCTTTCATTATGTCAGCCTTATTCTGGTAACCTTCACCTCAGATTTGTCGAGATACAAGTCATATGGCTGAGTCAGATGACATGAGTGTGGGTTTGGTGTTGGATTTCTCTCTCTCTCTCTTTCTCCCAAAGTCCACCTGTGCTTGGTGCTGGCAAATTTCAAATTGATGTCTGTAAACGAGGTGCCAGAGCTTAGGTGAAAGGTAGGGAGCAAATTTTCTGGGGAAAGGTGCAGTCTAGCCTGTCTGCTGTTAGACAGGGCTCCCCCCAGTGGTAGCTGCTTTCAGTATATATGCCATGTCTTATTTGCTGCAGAATTAAACATTTTTCTGCTTTGGGATGAGCTTCCAATGGCTAATCCACCTTCACTCCTACCCCCTTTCCTAGAGTAAAGGGATAATATCAGAATTTCAGAGATGTATCTGTTTCCTAGAGCTGCCATAATAAATTACTAGAAACTTGGTGGTTTACAACAACAGAAATTTACTGTCTCAGTTCTAGAGGTTAGAAGTTCGAAATGAAGAGGTCAGCAGAACACTCTTTGGATCCTCTAGGGGAGAATGTGTCCCTTGCCTCTTCCAGCCTTTGTTGGCTGTGGCTTTCCTGTGCCTGCGTTTCTCCAATCTCTGTCAGTTGCTTTGACATTGCTGCCTTCTCCTCTTTTGTCTCTCCTCTGTGTATCTCTTATAAGGACATTGGTCATTGGATTTAGAGCCCACTCTGATAATCCAGATGGTCTCCTCATCTCAAGATCCTCAGTTTAATCATACCTGCAAATACCCTTTTTGCAAATTAGGTAACATTCACAGGTTCCAGGGATTTCACATGGACATACCTTTTTGGGGATCCCCATTCAACCAACTACCGGTGGTTAGTGTTTTTGTCTCTTCATTGTCTCTGGATCTTTAAATTTTCAGTTTTGCCTGATTCTGTTCTTTGTAAACCAGCGTTCCTTTTGTTCTAGGTGGTGGACTGTGCGGAGCTGGCTTGCACCAGGGTCCACCAAGGGCTGTTGTTCTGTTACATGTTATTTAGCTGCTTCCTTACTTGTGTTAAGTGTTGACTGTATTCTTTTCAAATAGCCAATTAGTTTTGCTAATAGGGAAGAATTAATTATAGCAAAGATTTTGAGTAATGTTAAAGTTTATAAAAAACAGAAAACCAAATAGCTTAAGCACTAAATTGCACTTAACTGGGAGTGTAAGTCATTAGCAGTAACATTTCGTTTTGCAAGATAAGGAAAATAATTCTTTTAAGGCCTTCTTTAATTGTCGCCCTTCATTTCTCTGCAGGTCTTTTAGATAACCCTGAACTTCGTGTGGTCCTTGTATTTGGGTATAATTGCTGTAAGGTGGGAGCCAGCAGCTTTTTGCACCGAGTGGTCAACACTTTCAGTGATATGAATATCATTTTGGCTGGAGGCCAGGTGGACAACCTGTCATCACTGACATCTGAAAAGTATGTCTGGTATGCCTCTAAGTCCTGCTGTGGATGAGGGAAGATGTTTTCAGTATTTGTTACTTTGGTTTTTTAAATAGTATGTCTAAAGAATTGCTAAAGTTCATTGCGTTTTGCTGTACACATAGATTAAGGACCTTACTCAACGTAATTCTGCTCACAATTGAAAAATGAAATTTATATATATTGTCCTTTAAGTGTAGATGCTCTGGTAGCATAGTGGTTAAGGCATTTGGCTACTAACCAGAAGATTGGAGGTTCGAGCCCGTGGGAAAAAGGTGAGGCAGTTTGCTTCTGTAAAGATTTATAGCCTTGGAAACCCTATGGGGCCATTCTACTCTGTCCTATAGGGTCAGTATGAGTTGAAATCAACTTGATGGCAGTGGGTAGGTCCTTTAAGTACTTATTCTTTGTTGGACTCAAACTTTTCTTAAAATTGATTTTAAATATACTTGTAACAATTATTGCTTCCTAATCTCTCCTTTGACAGCTCTGGTACTCTGTGTGACCTCATAGGTCATTTCCTTTCTAGTTGTGTTTCCTGCTCTAAGGGACAGTCGTGGTTAAACAATGCACCTTTATGATAAAACTTCTCAGAGCCTCTAATATGCTTAGTGCTTTGTATGTCTAAAGAGGGAATAATTGTACATATGTTATTTTTCAAATTGATTTGACCACAAAACCTTTTCCTATGGAGCAACTTGCAGGGCTACTGGTATTCCTTGGCACACATTTTTTTGGAAATTCTGTATTATACCTTCATAAAAAGCCTTTTCAAAATCAAAAATTGTTACTAAGGTTTTTGCTTTCAGAAATAGGAATGTTTACTCTGCTATCTTGAATGCCATTATTGGATGCTTTCCATTTTGAATGATAGTATGTAGTATTTTGAGTTTAGCTAATAAGTTGACAATATCATATTTTCAAAAGCAGGAAATGAACCCGTACCACCCAGTGCTTCCTAAAAACACGAGTATTTTTTTTTTCTCACTGAGTGGTGATACGGAGACAGGTTGTTATTTATCAATAAGAGGCAACATAAATTATCCCGCTTACAGTCTCTCTCCTGGTAGCCTCAAGATCCAGAAAGCAAAAGCTAAGTTGAGGTCCCTGGACTGCCAGTGCAGAAGCATGGAGAAAAGCCAAGTGCACTGAATTTCAGGTATTAGGAAATCTTGGTGGCTGTCTGTGGGTTAGGAGTCTCTGCACATGGTTAAGCTGGTAGGTTGCTGGTTTAAACTCACCTATATGCACCTTGGGGGGAGCTCTGGTAGCATAGTGCACAAGGCACTTGACTACTAACCAGAAGGCTGGTGGGTTTGAACCACCAGAAGGAAGGTTGGGCAATCTACTTCCGTAGTGATAATGCCTCGGAAACCCAAGAAGGGGTTGTTATGAGTCTAGTCCGACTCAGTAGCAGATAACAACAACAACAACAACATATGCACCTTGGAAGGAAGGCCTGGGTGCTGCTTCTGGATGGTTGTGGCCTTGACAACCTTGTAGAACTGTACAGTGCAGTTCTCCTCTATGCGTGTGGGGTTGTCATGTGTTGTAGGTGACCCAAAGGCAACAGTGTTCTTTTGTTTTTTGTTTTTTTCTATTTATGGGTTATTTTCCTGTGTCTTTGATTTTTAGTTTTAAATTGTTGAAAAATAAGGGCAATAGTGATTTCATATACAATTTCCTTTGAAGTGCTAAAGTCTCATAACATCTGAGGTGCTAGTCTTTTAGTGTGGTTATCTGTACCTCATCTGTTTTTTATACTTAATATGGGAAATACATCTCAAAAAACATTACTGTTATGGGTGGACAGGCTGAACTAGTAGATATATTTATGAAGTGGGGAGTGTACCCAAGACCATATATGGGCTTGGCAGACAGTGGTCCTATAAGTGTATTTGTATGATCTGAATTCCCAGGTGTATAGTAGAACTGACAAGGGGTAAGGTTGTAGTCACTTCTTGGTCACAGCCAGATACCCAGAGGGGCCGAGTAGTTGAACCTGTGGGCTTGGGACCATAGTCGCAGGGGACATCAAACTCAATTGGCATTAACATGCTACACAAAACATTGTTCCACCTCCTACTTTGGTTAGTAGCGACTGGGATCTTAAAAGCTTGCAAGCAGCCATCTAGATGAAACGATGGGTCTCTCCTCGTCCAGAGCAAAGAAGAATGAAGAAAACCAAAAATTCATGGAAACAATTAGTCCTAGCGACTGGTACACCATCCAATCTGCAGCCTATACGACTATGAGACCAGAAGAACTAGATGGTGCTCAGCTACCACTGTCAACCACTTGGAGGGGGATCTATGTAGGAGACCCTGGATAGAGAGGGAGAACAATGTGGAACGAAGCTCAAAATCATTTGGAAAAAAAAGGGGAGGGACCAGGTTTGCTGGTCTGACAGAGCCTGGCGGAACCACTGAGACTATGGCCCTTAGCTGCCCTTTAGGTCTGGAATTGAACCCATATGTGTGGCTTCCAGACAAACAAAAGACAGGCATGAGTTGAACATTTACCTGAGGTAGATACACTCCTTGGAGAGAACAGTCATGGGAGAAAGAAGGGGTGTTTATGCACAGGGAGACAGCTCAGGGGGCAGGAGTGCATGGAGGGATGGACACAGGGAAGAGGTAACTATTGAGAGGAAGTGGGAGGGGAACTGTTGCATTGGGATAAATTGTAGTCACTGTCATCAGACAAAGTGTGTGTGAACTGCTGTATGGAAAGTGAATTTGCTCTGTAAATCTTCACCCAAATCACAATTAAAAAAAAAAAAAAATTACTGTTTACATGACCCATTCACGTTAATGTGGTACCCATACTGCGTTATTGGATAAGAGAAGCGACTGAATATACCATACTATATTCTAATGGTGTGTAGATGCTGCTCTTTGCCCTGAAAATACAGGTAAATAATTCTTGAAGGCAAGAGATTGAAACACATACGTTGCAACTGTGCAGCAAAAAGGGGCTGTGATAAAAGGGCAGAAGGTGGTATCAGAAGATGAATTCTGCCCCTAGCTTGCCTTATTATTTTAGTAACTTAATCTTTGTGAAGGGGTTCTGGTGGTATAGTGTCAAAACATTTGAATGCTAACCAAAAGGTTGGCAGTTCAAACCCACCAGCAGCTCCATGAAAGGAAGACCAAGCAATCCACTTCTGTAAGTGTTCACTGCCTTGGAAACCCAGTGGGGATTGCTGTGAGTTGGAATCAACTTGGTGGCAGTGGGTTTTGGTTTAACCTTTTTGAGTGTTTGTTTCTCACTACTTCATATTGTGGACTGAGATGTTGATATCAGTGATAAGGATGTAAGGACTTGCTTGTTTTTCTAATAAGTATTCACTGTATTATGCTTTATAACTTGTTTTGACATTAGATTTTTTTTTTTTTTTTTAATTAGGATTTGGGTGAAGATTTACAGAGTAAATTCACTTTTCATACAGCAGTTCACATATACTTTGTCTCAT